TACCATATGCTGAAAAACAGCCCCACACCATGATGTTCCCACCTCCAAACTTCACTGTTGGTATGGTGTTTTTGGGCTGATGTGCAGTGCCATTTGACCTCCAAACATGATGTGTATTCTGGCATCCAAACAGTTCAATGTTGGTCTCATCTGACCAGACTATATTCTCCCAGTATTACACAGGCTTGTTTAAATGTTGTGCAGCAAACTTTAAAGGAGCTTCAACATGCTGTTTCTTCAGCAGTGGAGTCTTGCGTGGTGAGCGTGCATACAGGCCATGGTGGTTCAGTGCATTACTTATTGTTTTCTTTGAATCAATCGTACCTGCTAATTCCAGGTCTTTCTGAAGCTCTCCACAAGTGGTCCTTGGCTCTTGGACAACTCTTCTGATAATTCTTTTCACTCCTCTGTCAGAAATCTTGTGAGGAGCACCTGGTCGTGGTCGGTTTATGGTGAAATAATGTTCTTTCCACTTCTGAATTATGGCCCCAACAGTGCTCACTGGAACCTTCAGAAGTTTAGACATTCTTCTGTAACCGATGCCATCATTATGCTTTGCAACAATAAGGTTGTGAAGGTCTTGAGAGAGCTCTTTACTTTTACCCATCATCAGATGGTTCTTGTGTGATACCTGGCCATCATTTGGGACTGAACCAGCTGATATTAACTTGCACTGACAAGGGGCAGGCTTGCTTTCTAATTACTGAGAGAGTTCAGCTGGTGTCTTGGCTTTCCATGCCTTTTTACACCTCCCTTTCTTCATGTGTTCAATACTTTTTCCCTGTGCCATTCCACATTATTACAAATAACTTCATTTCTGGACATTTATGGTTTGATTTCTTTGTATGTATGGATCACTTGGGTTGTTACCGACATCTGGTGAATATTTCATGTCATTAGCACCTCTAGTAATATATTTACTGAGAAAAATGGTGACGTGTTCAATACTTATTTTACCCGCTGTATCATGGAGAATGAAAATATATAAAAGAGAATCCCCATTTAGTTGGCCAGTTTTATTAGTTCAGAAACATTCATTTTTGTCAAAAATAATTGAACTAACACACAACTGTTCTGCTCAAAATCCCCTCCCACTGGCCTGCTGTGAAGTGGATGGCTCTCTGCCTGTAACCTCACATTTCTGAGCATGCACACTTTTCCATGCTCACACACACACACCTGCACTTACAGGCATTCCCAGAAATTCACATAAATAGTGCAGACAATATAAATACAGTAACAGAGTGAAAGCTCAGTGCCCAAACTAGATGTTTGTGTGTCTGACGATAAGATGAGGACAAAGAGAAATGGCATGATGTTTTCAGACTGTAGTGTTTGTGCTGCGACTCAGTGACCTTGACTCGGATAAAGAAGTACACACACTGGGCATGATTATCGCTCAGCTGCATGTTTGTTGGAGGTTTACAGTGGAGACTGTGTGGCTCGTAGAGCAGAAGGAACAGGCTCTTCTGGGCTTATCTCACTCACTCAAGGTCACAGATGAAAATGATGTTACATTGTGTCGTGTTTTCTAATCGTTTCACTTTAATGGAGCCACTAACGCTCACACAATTACTGTAAAACTGTCCATCTATGTTATTTTGTTCCAGGACAATGATTACAGTTTATCTCACAAATGCAACACTTCCAGTTTGTGTCCATCCAGTCAGAAAAAGATATAAATGAACAAATGAATACAAATAGCTCATCTGTGTTACTGTATTTAAAACAAAGACGGTTTAAATTTTATTGTTGAAGTTTATTAAATCGCAAATCTGTGAAAAAACAAATAAATATCCATAAATGACACTGTTTCTGTTTCCATCGGAGCTGGAAACAGCAGGCACACTCTAACATCCAATTTCTTTTAAAACAGTGTGTTTTACTGACCTAACAGTCAATCTTTCAATATTATAAAACATACATTTAGCTACAGAAAACTTCAGAGCTAATCAATTTATAAAAGCATAGCAGATTGGTGTTTTTTTATTGTTAATTATGTCAACTTAAAATAAAAGCAAATTAGTCAAACACAAAAAATAATACAATTAGTTTGCGAAACTGCTTTATTGCTATCACACATCAGAGTTGAATATTTTTACTGACTATTTTTTACTGATTACTATTTAATACTGACATTCTGAGATCAACTGGTGAAAACATTAAACATGACAACGATTCTGCTGTTGTTCTGCAGCACGATTAACACTCAAGAGTTAAACTTCAGTGAAAAATATTAATGTACATAAGACTTAACATAGTTCAGATCTTTTGTGGAAAGGTTATGAGCAAATAATATATTTTCTACCCTACATGGCTCCTTGATATACCACCAGGAGGACAACAAACGTGCTACGGTTCTTGTAACAGTGACTCAGGACGCAGCCATCGTCCTCACAATGGAAGAGTAGTTTTGATCACTTTGCTAAGATGCTAGCTAACAGCTGGATTGGAGAGATGAGACGAGCTATCAGAGATTGGACCAACTGAATCCTATCCCTGAACTTTCTGCTCATTTTACTCATAGCATGCCAGCCTCACACAGCGCTCTACTGCAGTCAGTCACACATATGGTGTTTCTTTGAACAACACAGCAGCAGCGGCTTAACTGATAAAAAATACGTACACATGCATGTGGCAAGCTAAGCCACACTGCAAAAAATGTCCACCTAACCAAGTTTTAAAATCTTATATCCAGCCAAAAAGTCTTTTTGATCTTGTTTTGAGACTGATTTACTAAACAAGAACTGATTGTGTAAGAATAATCATCTTGTTTTCAGAATGTGTAAGATTATTTGTCTTAGTCTGAAAATTTGACTCAAATTAAGTCAAATTTTCAGACTAAGACAAATAATCTTACACATTCTGAAAACAAGATGATTATTCTTACACAATCAGTTCTTATTTAGTAAATCAGTCTGAAAACAAGATTATTATTCTTACACAATCAGTTCTTGTTTAGTAAATC